AGGATGGTCCCTTGGGGTTCACCATTACTCATAATTAATTCTTAAGTATCATTAATTTTAATTATTTGTCTTCTTTTGGTCTGGTAATTCTTTATCAAATTGAGTACAATAGTACCTCTAAGTACCATTTTGTATAACAATTTCAGTAGGGTCTCATAATCAATCATATAAAATGGTTTTGCAAGATCCAGAAAAATGGATGTACAAGGAATATTTTTGTCTTTTGAGTTAGCTATTTTGTTGGTTAAATGTACTATTGTATCTTAAGTATATATCCCTTCCTGAAATCCACATTGATGTGGATAATAAACCTACTCACTTTCAGAATCTTTTTAAATAGCTTTGTGAAATTTGATATAAGTGACATTGACCTGTAATTTATTAGATAATAATTTTCCCCACTTTTAAATGCTGGCATGGCTTCAGCTTTTTTTAAATAGTCTGGAATTATTCCAGTTTTTATTATTTATTAATTATTTGACTAAGTGTTGCTTAGTTGGTGCTATATAAATTATAATGATTTTAACTGATATTTGATCTTTTCTAGCAGTTTTGTCAATGTCTATTGTATTTAGGATATTTATTAAGCCAATTGGCGTCAGTGAACAAATAAAAATAATTAAATAAATAAGTTATTTCAGTTTTATTTGTATATTTCAATGATGGAGATTTCAATGGCTCTCACACTCTTTTTTTGACTCTCACATCAGATTTGTCAATATTTAAATTATTTAAATCTCATTTATCATGTAACACAACAATTTGTAGCTTAATTGTTTTTTTTTGTTGTTTATAAATTGTAAAATCACTTTAACATTAAAATGATTTTCGTAAATTTTAAAGTTAATGGAGGGGAAATTTTGACCTGGTGATCAAAAACTCGAAGACAAGCCTTGTTCAACATTATGCATTATGTAAGCCAACATAGACAATACTACAAAGGTAAACAGAAAATACAAAACAGAATTAAATATGGATATAAATTCAACCTCAAATCTGATCATTAACAAAATTTTATTCAACCTACTGGAAATAAGCTCACTATTTGTTTCATTCTTCATTAATATGAGTTAATGGCCCCGACAATCAAATAATTTTAGCAACTTCCAAAGATGACTATAAGATTAGGCTTCAAACTAAATGCAATTAGAAAAGAATATGACATGAATTTTTTTATTACTAAAAGCAAAATCATTGAAGCAACAAGAAAAACTGCAGAACTAAAACAGTAATAGAAGATTAAATAATATAATAAGTAACGAGAGTGGTGAGATGTTTGGTGATTGATAGATGTGCTGATGACCAAACAAAATTATAGTAATAATGTATTGACAATATTTTAGAGTAGAATTGAATATTACGAAAAACCTATTTTAAGGGTAAAAGTTGAGGGTGGGGAGGAAGAAAAAACAACAACTGAGAAACAGTCATGAAACAACGAGAAGCACTCAAAGTATTTGCTAACATTAGTGCATTGCATTGAGAGATCTCCATCGCTCATGTTGACCCATCCAGCCTCTTCATCACATATTACATAATAACAGTAAGTGAAGTAAGAAGAAACAGTATATTGTGTTTGTGTGCAATAGTTTTTACTAGGTTTGTTAGTGATTTCAGGTTTTTTAGTTGTTATGCACTGGCTAATTATAGTTTAACTGAAACAAAAACTATTTGCCTCACTAACATTTGAAGAGAAACTTTTGTTTGATTGAAATTTTTTCTTTTGATCTTGAAAAAATTTTTTTGAAGAATTGTTTTGCCAACTTGGATACAAAAAAAAATTTTAAATCACTGGGAATAAAAAACTGAAATTATTGTTTTTAATAAAATTGCAGCCTGTAAAGACAAATCTCCATTAAAATTGGTAAAATTTTTTGAAAGAACAAAATTTTCACTATTTATTAAAGGAAATTTTCCAATGAGCTAAATAAATATGCGTGATAGCAGCTCCAGCTGCATCTGCAGAAAGGAGTTTCTTTGCTATAAAAATAACAAATAATTATAAAAAATAAACACAAGCAGAAGAGTGAATGTGCAGCTTGTCCTTTATAGGAGTCTTTAAACACATTTATCTTATAAATTCATGAATGTCAATACGTTAAAATGACAGCTTCCAAATGTCACACATTATTTTGAAATATAAATTTTGTTAATTTGTATGAATTTATTCATTTGCAATCTTTACAGTCATTTACAATTTGCAGTCAATATTATCTTATTTATTCAAGTCTGACAGAGCCATCATGAAGAGGTCTAATGCTTTGGAAAGGATTCCTAGTACTACACTGATTAGTTGATGTGTTATGAAAAAATGATGAGAATAATGATTTGCAGCTCTTGGGCCACAGGTACACAACTTCCAATTGTACATCATTTGGCCTGAGTGTCGTTTTGTGGGTTGGCTTATATTAGTTTGGAACATCTCTTCAATGCATGGATTGTTTAAATGGCAGCAACAACTCAGTCGCGTGTAAACCCAATTTAAATAGTTTGCACAGGAGTTGGCTTCCTTGCAGAAAAAGCATTAATCATTATAAATTACATCCAAATAGCAAACAAATTTTTAAATTATTATTTAATTTCACATTTTTTGGATTGATTGATTTTCATCTTGCCAAGATTTCTAAGGTATTTTAATATTGTCTTAAAGGAGTCCTTGAGAATAAAAAAATGGAATGAAAAAATCAGAAAAATTAGCTTAGCGTTTTTAGCATTTAAGAAACACTCTACTGCAACTCCCCTCCATCACATCAGAATTAGACCTGGATAAATCTAGTGATGACCATACAAAAATGCCATGCCTTGCCACTAGTAGCAACCTTTACTTGCATAGAAATGAAGATAACTTGATAAGAAGAAGAATAGATATAAAATTGGCAAGATACAAGAGAATCAAAGTAATAATAAAAGGCAAATATTAAAACATGAACATGCAAACAAAAATTAGGCTCTCTAACACAGAAGCAAAATCAATCCTATTAGATGGAAGCAGAATGTGGATCTTAAAACAAAGAGACAAAAGCAGGTTAGAAGCAGCCGATATGAGATTCCTGAGATATGAATGTCAAGAAAGAAAAGTATAAGAACTAACAACTTCAGAAAACGTCGTAAAAATTAAAAACACAGTCAAGAAAGAAGAATGAAGCCAGATAGATACTCCCAACAAATCCTAAAATATAGACAAAGGGGAAGGAGAACACTAGACAGGTTATGGAAAAGAACACTTCATCTGTAACTGAGGGAATTCTGCTTTTGAAGGGATCAGGCCACTAGGCTTAATCCTTAAAAGTTCATGATGCTGCTGCTGCCGCTGCTGCTAATGATGATGATAATTTATTCAATTTCCCTTGATCTCTATGGCAATTGCTGAGATAGCCCCTTTGCTTTGCTTTTGAACTGTAAATGTAGTTTTTTTTCTCTCCAAAACCTCAGTAGTAGTTTTAATTGGTTTGTTTCTTTGTCTGACTGATTTGGGTTGGTGTTAGAAAAATAAAGATAAATAAATATCAGAATCAATTACTAATGCAAAAAGAAAAGTAAATTCCGTAGATGTGAAAATGCAATAAGCCTAATAACCTATAGTAATAATATAGTACCCAGCTGTTGGCCAAAACATCAGAATCAATAAAATGTACTATTTGAAAATTGATGAAACATCAAAATGAGTTAAAATATTGTTGGACTTATTAAACAATATATTGATACATTCTTACCATCGCTTGTGTTTACTAGTATTTCAATATTTAGCAATTCTTAATAGTCAGTTATAGTTTCAATTGAAGGGCTCAGAGGAACAAGAGGCTATTCCACATCGTTTGCAAAATTGAGTTAATTAGCAATATGCAAAATTTCAAATATTATTCTTTTAGTGTAATACATTATTTAAATCCAGTATGGACTTAAATGCAAGTGTTCTGTGTTTAAAAGATTAAAAATGTATTAAGTTATATGAGGGAAGTTCAGGTAATAACCTCATTACCTATCTCAGAGCTATGTCTATGGGGGATAGCAATTTGTTCTATTGAGTCCTTCAATTGTGGACATGCTTTCATCACATATTGAAGTCAATAATATCTTAAACAAATAAGGAAACAAATATCTACCTTCACTTAAACTGCAGCTAAGACAACTCTTACTCTAATGTTTAAGGCGAGGAAAATATAATATAGAATTCTTTACCCAAAACTATACCTATATTTTTATGTTCACAACATTACTTCAGGAATGCAGCTCTCTCTCAATCACAATTGCTGAACTTTAAAATTTAACATTAGATAACCTGGATGCAAGACACAATTTGGAATGCTATAAGTGAATATTTTGTCATATTTGTCGGACTGCCATACCTTTTGACAGTGCACACTATAGTATATTGCTAGGCAAACAAGACAGATAAGAGATCAGGAGTACAACACTAGAAGTTCAGACATAATTGTTAGACACAGACAGTACACAAAGACAGTAAAACATAGTTGATAATCTGTATTTATAAAAATGTATATGTAGTTATAAAAAAGGTAATACAAACATGCTACTTAATACTTCATTTAACTTATCTTTATAATATATGATCTACAAATGGCTTGATTACTGCAGTGTGTGAAATTTAATTCATTGCTATAGTTATATTTAATATTACTGCACTGTGTAATATAACTTTTTTTTTGCACAATTTGATGTTTTTAGCATTTAGAGAGAACACTATTTAACTGAGAATAGAAAGCCATGATTCGGCTTAAGTGTATTTATGCTGTTATTCTTGAAGACATTTTCAGGAAGCATATTTTAACATTGGTCATTGTCATTTTATAAAATGAAATAGTCTTCTAAGCAGAAACGTAGCTTTTAGAAAATTCATTCATGTATATTTTAATACACATAGCTTTTTAAAATATGCTTTAAAATAAATTTGTACGTAGGTTTACAAAATAACTTTTTAATATCTACTTTGTTTTTAATTGTTGATGTAAAGTAATGTTGAACATTTTTTTCTGTCACAGGAGACTGAAATAAAGGTCTGTGGGGGTGGTGGCAGCACTTCTGTGTCACCTTGGATTGTAATGGTTTGTTTAGGCACGTGGACAATTAGCAAAGCTCTCTTATCATGATCTGTTTGGCTTGGATTATTCCATTGTTAAATCCATTGATTTTTCCTGTGATGATCACAATTATTAGCAAATAATCAACGCCTATGAAAGTACATTGTAATGTGGCTGTTTGTACAAATAATCTACAGGTTGTAAAAGTATGTGATTCCTCAGCAAAGATGGGATGGTTAAATTATTTTTATTAATATCTGTTCTAAATCATAACTCACATACACAAACTAGTCATCATTACACAAATCCCTAAGGACAATATTACTAATAGTACATGATTAATGCAATAATTTTTGTAGTGTTCAAAAACAATATGTTCAATGAATCATATATAATTACTAGCAACCAATTCCTAAACGTATTGTATTATTAGTACAAACAGATGTCAAACTCACTCAGAGTCATAATATACGAATACAGCAAAACACCTCATGACAAATAATGATAATAATAATGTTAATAAGTAATAAATAAGCAACGCTTTAAACTCCTACAGTTGCAGGATGCCAGTATTAGCTTCAGCAAGTGGTAATGGAAAGTCTTCGGAAAGTTTGCCACATTGTTTTGGACTGTGTAACCCCTTGTCAGTATAGCTATGTAAATACCTTCCACATTTATTCTCCTATCTTCAGCTCTTTTAGAATTAGATATAGAACCAAAATTGTTTTATTGTAGTTTATTATAGTATATATCATTGTTGCAAAGTTGATATTATTTACTAATAGTTGTTATATTTAAATATTAATTGATTTGTTAAATAATTTCAATGTTAGTGCCCTAATGTAGTTGTAAGTTAACAAGGGGTTAACGACTCATCGGATTAAAGGTGGCTCGAGACTGACAATGACAATAGCATAGAGATTAGATTTCAGCTAGCAAACTGAACTGGGTTTGTACAACATACACAAGGTCAACTTCATAGGATTTTTAAGGCATTTGTTATTACACTGATCCTCGTAGAGATGTGAGGAATTTTGGAATCATGGTAAGGTCCATGTAATTTAAACATATAATACAGTATTATAAATACATTTTAGAAACACTGTCATCAAAATTTGTAACAGATAGACCAATGTTTGTTTAATTGCTTGTGTGATATGTTTATGCATTTAGCACTAAGTCATGAAATGTTTTATCTCAAGAAATTAATGTAAAAAGATATACTTTCTATCACTTTGAGCTGTCTTGCTATGAAGACATTTAGACTACATTTTTATTCAATGTCTGTGGTAGTCCTGACAACTGTCGAGTATGTCCCCCTTGTATATACAGTCAATTTTACATCCTTCATCTAAACATTTTCACCTACTCATAAACATAAAGATTCTCTCTTGCAACCATCACACAATAATTTTGAGAATACATTTATATTTATCAATAAAGTTATCAAATGATTGGTGCGTAAACATATCCTTACCAACATATCCATGGAAATACGTGTATGGAAGGTTTGAAATATTAACATATCCTTTCAAACATATCCAGGACAATACATAAAACAAAACATGGATGCAACAGAGAATTATATTCCTTTTTTTTATGAAAAGACCAATTTGCTGTGAAGTGAAGCTTTTTCATTAGTAGAAATGTGCTGCCAAATACTTCGTTTATCTTCTCTTCATAATATATGACCTACAAATAGCTTGATTACTGCACTGTGTAAATTTTTACTGTTATTTTGCACAGTTTGATGTACTTAGTATTTAGAGTGTACACTGTATAACGTCCGAGGATAGAAAGCCATGATTCTGCTGAAGTGTTTTTATGCTGTTCTTCTTGAGGATATTTTCAGAAAGCACATTTTTACCTTGGATGTTGTTATTGTATAATATGAAACAATTTCTCCTAAGCAGAAGCTAAATGAGCTGGATGGTCAGAAAGAAATTAATTTATGGCTTTTTCAAAATAGTGCACATGTGAAAAATGCACATATTTAATTGATTTTACAAAATAATAACCATGATGGCCTTTTGCCAGATAATGAGATTATGCTAAGATAACTTGAGTTTCAAAGGATATAAGACAATAACTACTCTAATAATTATTGTAACAATAAGGAATAATAATTTTAGAGACTGACAAAACCAACATGGGCCATGAACATTTCAGAGAGTGCAAAGTGGAATAATTGCATTACAATTGAACTATACAATAACTGTGCTTGGGTATGTAAAGTGGATAAGAAATGTTAAATTTTTCTCTGTGTCTCATTAATGTTGTCTGACTTCATTTTTTCATAGTATATATTTCATTACTTTTTTCCTCATGTACAAAAGTATGGCTTATAAATGTGGTACTTCCTAATTGCCTGAAATCGGGTTGCACTGAAATTTTTGAACAAAATGATGGGTAATACAGGTATCACAGAATGTCATTCATAGTACCATTCTTTCTTGAATTGGCATAAATATCCCATGCCAAACAATTGAGAGCCTTGCCAAACAATTATTATATCAGCTCTAAATACTTTTCAAGATAGAAATACCTCAGAAAATAATTCAAGTATATTGAATACAAACAAAATTGGTAGATTTTTGCTTTTTTATGTAATTGTTAATAACTATATATTGTTCGTAATACAATGATACAGCAATTTTTTACACCAATGGAATTCCTGTAATTGTTTATTACTTGAATAGTTAAATGTAGATTAATGTGTGTGTTTCGGTGGTAAAAAATCTGCTTCCGGGTAAGGCATGCCTAAAAACATTACCAGTATTTCAAAGTATTATATCATAAAACATTTTGTACACTTCCATGTGTTTAATGCACTTATGGAGGTGTATGTATTCCAAAAACAACAGTGGACAATACAAACTTACAATAATATTATTAATATTTAAATTGAATAAAAATTGAGAATAAGAAATAATAACTCAACGACGACAAACTACCATCCTTCACAGACCTGCGGCCTATCACACACATGATATTGTTTACTTCAGGGGCAAACAAGCTCATGCAAGAATGGAGTGTGGAAGCCAACAATATATTGATAATTCAGTAAGGGAAAGAGCTTCTGTTCCATTTATGAAGAACTGAAATTAGCAAACAATGGTGTGCATAAATTTTAAACAGAGAATATTATTTTTATCTCCATTTACTTCAGAAATGTTCAATTAAATGTGGTGAAGGACATTGGTTAACAATGTGTTCAGGGCTTCATGAGTGTGTGTACACTGGGTTCAAGTTACGTTGCAGTGCAGTGGTTTGAAGAAAGCAGATATGACTCAGCATCAGGTGACAAGATGGAACATCCTATTCTTCTTTTTCTATTGTTCACCCTTTCTTTCAACAGAAAATCATTTTGAAAGTTGTGTGTTTTCCGTCATTTCCTCCCTGCTCTGCAGTGTGATTTGTAACATACGTAAAAGAATGTAAAAGAAGTGATTAAGAAAATTTTGAAATGTAAAACAGAAAACAATGGTCAGTTGGGATAGAGGATTGTGAGATGGAAAGTAGGACATTGCATTGATGAAAGTTTGGATGCCTTATATTGGAGAATGTTTGGGTTTTTATTCCATGCCTGTTGGTTGTTTGCCAATTACTCTTGCAAACATTAAGTCTTCCATTTAAGAATTATAATAAATCAGAGATTAGTGTATCCGTAGTTGACAGCAATAGAATGGAGAGAAAGAAACTAATGTAGGCAAAGGAATGGCACAGTTATAATTAAATAATTTATTTTTTGGTATCATACTATGATATTTAACAAAAAAAGCTTCAATGCCAACTCTGTATTGACTAATTTGGACAAAGTTGGTATTACAGTAACTCTAGTGAAGCAGGAAACAGATTTTTTAATTTATTTAAGTGGATATTGTCTCATTAATTATGTAAAAGAATTTATTGCAAAATTTTGCATCAAGTCTTAGCAGTCGTTAGCTTCAATGTAACGTTATGACTTGTATAGATTATAGTGCTTGCAAAACCATTACACCATTCCTCTAGTTTCAGGGAACTGTGAATGTGACATTCAAGTACCCTGCATCATTGGCTACAGGAATAACTATATCAATTTTGTGTAAAAACAAGTTTGAATTAAAACTTGCAGAATAAAGCTTAAAAATTACATTGTGAGTACAGTATTTGACAATTGTGTTTGAATCTCATTTGGCACTTTGATTATTTTGATATGATTGATAGCAGTGCATTTGACTTTTTTTTAAGCAACTACATTTGATATTGTTATACTGAACAATAATGACTTTTTCAGGAATATTTAATTATTAACAAGCATTGCTAACTTTCAATGGCATAATAATTAAGTGCCCATATTTAAACAGTACTGTGTCATAATTGACTTATTATGACATCATTCTAATATATGAATCGTTTATAATGAGAGTGTTGGGTTTGTTGCAGATTGAAGTAAAATAAATATCGGTAACTGTGTAACTAGTTGCGAGTGTTTGACTTCTAAATATTCCTATTGACAATACCCTTTTACAAATGATTTATTTTGTAAAATAATGATAAATAACTTTTTAAGTGACTGTGTGCGAGTATCTTCCACAAATAGGAGTATGCCTGTTTTTTATTCTTTGTTTATCTACAAAAATTGTGTATTTGTGAAATGTGATGTCTGAACACAATCCATAAGCTGCAGTGAAACACATACCTCCATAGCCTTTGAACCCATTATTTAATAAGCAGTTAAATATTGATCATCCTCTGAAAATTTTAATTATGTTTTGTCTTGAAAGAAGACGAATATAAATGTAAATAATAACTATTAAATGTCTTCTCTTTCACTTCAACTAGTTACAAAATTTGTTTACTTCAAAATGTAATGGTACCATTACAAATAAATGTAAACACCATACTAATAAATATAAAACTGTTATTGTAACAATTTCCTGACTACATTTCATTTCTATTATTTTTAATTGGCAAATTGTTGACAATATTATCATTTCATTCTTGAAAGAGTAAGCAAATAAACCTCAATGGAAATGTGACATGACTTCATTCACAAAACACGGGCAATTAGATTATTTCAATCAATAATTTATTTTTAAGGCTTTCAAAACATCACAAATGAATGTTTTAAAATATCACTGTAATATTCTGCACAATAAAACACATAGAATATACAGAAGTGGGTAAAAAAAACAGAAAATAAAGAATAAGAACGTGCCGGTCACAGTTCTATTTCCCTCAGCTTTAATCATCTGAGACAACTGGAGAAAGTCAAAATTTTCAGAGGCAGATTAGTGTGATCTCTTAAGTGAGAATTACATGGTCTTAGACACAATATTGACAACTTGCAGTTCTCTTATTATAATAACAAAATTTAATTTATGATGAGTCATTTAAAACTAATTCACAATATAAGAGTATAATTAATATAGTCTTGTTTGACGGCTTGAGTTGGTCCTTTTGAGAAGTTTTTTATAGCACTTAAATCAAAGTTGGCTGTAGAATAACTCATTTCTTCTATCTGCAGTAGTAATTCACAAAAATAACAATAAATAAGAGACATTTTTGAAGTTAAGGAATTAGTTATTACACAGGGGTCACAGCAAATAGACGATTGGTTTTTAGTAACAATAATGGCTATTTCTCATTTAATTTGTGTTTGGTTATTATTAAAAGCATCTTCTAAATAAATTTACACCTATAAATTTCCTAAAAAGGATGCAAGGATATGTAGTTTTCTTAGTTTCAAATAGTTTCTAAAACATTTCACTACAAGCAAACTTTAGTGTGTTTTTCACAACCAATTTTTTCAAGAATGGAAAGCCATTCACAGTTATGAAGGAAGAAAGATTTGCAAAGATATTCACTATGTACAAACAAAAAAGCAATGTAGAGGGGGAGATTAAGTTTCTCATATGAAGTATCTCCAGTATTAAATGGACTTAAATGTAAAATAACACAGAATGGAACTGAATGAGGATAAGAACTTACAGAACTACTAAAATCATGATTCCATTTTACACCAATGTTTTTATGAGAATGGCTACATCAAAAGTGGAAGATATGTCTGCAACTTTCTAGAAAGTTATCAACCAACCACATGTTTAATGCTCAAATCCAATCTTTTTCTTAATTATAGCTATTGGCTGATCTGGTGGCCGAGATCCCTAAGGTAGTAGTGCCGTAGCGATCTCATACCGAAAGATCGCGGATTCGAGTCCCGCCTCAGGCATGGTTGTATTGTGTTCGTCGTTTCACCCCCTATCATCCATCATCCTCCATCTCTCATTATCACCTTTCTGAATAACATTCAGAATTGTAACTCGAGGATTTATCCTCACCTCAAGGTGACACCTTCGACAGTCGACCATGAACAGTAAAAAGTGAAGTGGAACGACTCAAGTGGTCCAATGTGGCCAATCAAGTTAATAATAATAATATAGCTATTGTTTTCATATTTTTGAAAGTGATAAATCATTCTCAAGCACCTGCAGTTGTATGAACATATCTACAATTGTGACCATATAATACAGCTTGAATACAAATGATGTACAAAATTATGTATTGTGACATTTTACTGAGACAGTCACACAATAGTGAAAATATACACAAATTAATACTAATGTATTTTTTCATGGGCTCAAAACAAATTATGAATGTGCTCCATTTTTATGGGTGACACAGAAGGCTCAAATGCTAAGAAAAATGTTATTTAGGAAATTTTTATTAAAAATTGAAGCAGTGAATTGAAACATTTTAAATTGGTGGTAATATTGTGCATTATTTTATATCAGAAATAGTTCTAAAAACAGTAGGGCTGAAACACCTTTTTGATATATGAAAGTGAAAGATATTTTCCAAAAGAGAGGAACCAAGTCAAGACGTACATAGGATATTATAAAATCACAGTAGTAGTTCATACAATAGTTAATTTTTTGGAATTTGTTAATGTAAGAAGTAAAATTTTATTTTCAGAACAAATTAGTTTCAATTTTAGAAACTTGTGTATGGTAAAACAGCTGATGATTTATTTAATAATGAACTGATGGCACTCCAAGACCACAGAACCAAATAAGATGGGTAGCATTTATGACATCCCAATATATTTTAAGAAAGGAAATAAACATTGACAATGCACTAAAGGAAAATAAAATGGACTTTTAATAAATAGCTCTTGATATGGAAATAAGATTTATCAACTTTTTCCTTTACAGGGGTTAGCAATAAGAGTTTTTGTGTTGAAAATTTGTCATTTTCTAGTTCATGATTACAATATTTTTTCTACTTAGGTTTAGGAGGTCAAGAAAGTAAAATAGTTTAAAATATAGTTTGGAATATAAAAATATATTTAAAATTTTAGATTGTAAAATTCTAATAGACAATTATTAATGATATATTCAAAAGGAATAATTTATTAAATATTAAAAATTATAATTTTTAAGAATCGCTTTTCAAAACTAGAAATTATATTATCAAAATCATTTGAAGAAATGTTTACAGTAATTTACTTTATTATACTCTTCATTCACATTACATTCTACTCTACATTCACATTATTCTACTTCTTCAATTAGATAATTGTGATATTTAATGTTAATGCTTTGTAAATGTATTTGCATACAGATGTTCCAGAAGTTCAATAAATCAGAACTTTGGTAAGAGATTAAGGAAGGTAAATGAAAAGTTGTTTTCTGGCTTGTTTACAGTATTCATCCATTAGTTTCAAAACAGGGAGAACTCTAAGCTTAACATGAAAAATTAAATATTCATAATTTCCACTTCATTAATAGTTGTTCATAAGCTAGCATGTAAAAAAATTGGGGTATTATAAACGGACACAGAATATTGTCTATTTTACATACCATACATGAAATTAGTTATTTTGTAGAATATAATGTAGTATGTACATACACTATTGGATCACAACACCTCAACCTGCATGGCTCTATGGGGTCTTGCTCTTTCTGACACCTAGCAAGCAGGTTTGCAGGCCAGTGTCCATCCCCTTTCCTTTACATTAGCAATTCTATTCAGTGTAAGCACTGGTTTAGAAGACTCAGGGAATCAGTTGATGTTACTGCAGAGCCTCTGACAGGGAGGTCTGAGGGTTTGAGTCCTTACGGTGGCAGGATTTTTGACATTAGCTAAATAGCTAGATTGAATTCAGCCTTTTTGGAGGAGAATTCTAGCAGACGGTTGCTCTGATTGGTAGTTTATCATGGTTTCTCCGATCAATATCAGGTAAATACCAAAGCAATACCCTAACAAATGGGCTACCAACCATGCACAGTCTTTCCTTCCCCTTCCTTGTCTTATCCTTCCCCCTTTTACACATACACTTATACTTTCATGCACTACTCTGCTGCACATGCTGGAATACCAGTCAAGAGCTTAAAGCTTGGCCCAGATGGGGTGGTGCGGCAGATACCTGGTTGAGGAAAACCCTGCAAGCCGACAGGCACCAAATCTCACCATCCTACAGGGAAAGATTACTATCACCTCCTATGATAAAAAACATGCACTATAGTTTCAGGTCTGACCTTAGCAGTTGACATGCCCAGAATCACTAATCAATCAATTGGTAAGTACATCCTGTATTAAGAACTAAGTACTTTCCTGGCTGGACCCTCACTGGCTTTCCAACAGCCTATAGTTCATCACCATCTTTTTGGCTGAGGGGAGCTGTCAAAATATCCCCTGGAGCAATCTTAGTAAGGCACGGTGATATCAGGTAGTGGGTATCTATCTGAAGGGGAAGGATCCAGTCTTACAAGGTGATACATGATGGATGAGCTTGAGCAGTGATGGCACATCACAAGAGGAGTCAGGAATAGCACCATCTAAGCACAATGCATACATGTCTTATACCATGCTCCTGGGCCATCTGAGTAGAAGAGGAAAGAAAATATATTGTGTAAAGGTGATTCTTTGGTAGGTGGGAAATACAACCATGTCAACCACACTACACTTTTCAGGTAAATATCCAAGCCTAAGTATTATTCAAACCCATGACCCCCCCCCACACACACACACACACACACTTATCATATTATCTTGCTACTGCATGCCATCCCTTAGAGACCACAAGCATTTGGATCAGCTGTTTGTTTCCTGGTGATTGGCAAAATAAGTAATAGTATTATATTTTTATATTTATACACAAACAAAAAAAGGGCATATAAAAATGACCAAAATATTTTCAGAAAACAGACAATGAAAAACACAGTCCCTACTATATGTTACAACTGTAATGGCATTTTGAACACTTGAAAAGATGGGCATGTGCACCTAAAATAAGGAGGGGGATCCAACTACATATCTGGGCCCCCATTTCGCATTTAACTTTTTTTATTTACAAATTACATTTTACTAGTTAATAAAAAAAAATTTTCAAGTAGAAAAAAAAAAAAATTATAATGATACAATTAATAAGTACAATAGGTTTTATGTTAAACTCCTTACCTAGTTGCCAGATTGCTAAAAGAGCAGCTCCCCCAAACGTCAAATTACTATTTCCTTAAATTGTTGGGTCAAGAAAGGAAAAATCAGTGATTGAACATATTTAGAAAATAAAATGTTTTCTTTCAAAGGGCAATAGGGCATTTTTCAAAATTTCCAGGGTGTCCACAGCCCCTCCATCCCTCTCTTAGTGCATGTCTATGATTCCATGAACACAAAATACCATAAATGTGCAACTGTTGAAGAGAGAATTACTTCCCAAGAGTGCATCAAACACATTTAAAATGAATAATGTTGAAATTTTGTAGATCAGAGGTAGGGTTGAACTTAAACAATTTAATCAGAAATACCTCTAAAGATGAATTATAATTTGAGTGGATATACAGTTTTACTTTCCTTTGTAAAGGAACTCCTTGAAATGCACCTCTGCCTACAATTACACAATAAGTCACTTTTTGCACAACTTGTTGCAACTATATCAACAAAGTTTCTTCAATTTTAAAATCTTTCAATCTTAATGAAGAATTTTCTCAAAATTTAATAACATTTCAGAAAGTGTTATCAAATATAATATTAACAGGTCATCTAAATTAATAGTTTAGTTTTCTCTTCAGTAATGTTTACACTGAGGAAATTGTATTGTATCAAAAGACATCCATTTTAAAAAATATATTTTCTCAAAATTTTTGGTTTCCTATTAGTTAAAGAGAAATGAATCAGAATATCAGAAGAGCAAATATGCTTAACAAAAAAATTAAAACTGCTCTTCAGAAGAGGTATTTTGGGTAAATTTTCACAGTTGGAGTGAAGAGGAAATATTATTGATTTCTAATTTCCTTCTTATTCATAGGCATGTCCAACCTAGGAGGGGGAACCAACAACTTTTCTGTATCCTCTTATTCATTCAATTTTTTTATTAACATGTAATATTTTACATGTACGAAAAAGGCAGTCCATTTTTTCTATTTTCTAATGTTTAACCCTTCGACTCTGTTTCTCAAATACTTATGTGGATTCTGTTTGGTTCTTTTTTTTCACTCTAAATGTTTTACACAATAATTTACTAGTATTTGGAGCAGGAATGTTATATGAAAGTATTAATAGAGAAAACAATGCTATTTATTTGCTTTATTTATTATATTGTACTAAATAGCAAAGAATAATATTATTTTCACAAAAAAACTTCATTTTTTTTCTCCCCACATCCGTTGGTCTGTTTGTCTATAAACACCACTAGATCCTAAATCATACATAGGATTTTCCAAAATGGATATTCCCTGGGCGATCTGGCTAGACCCCTGGTGCAGTGATTTTGAAAAATATTCTTTAAAATTTGGAGAACTTTACATGAAGCTCCTGGGACATTCTGAAAATTTTCTAAAAAATGGCACCAAAATTGTTTCTTTACATTTTTTGAAAGAATGGAGTAAAATACACTTTTAAAAATGGCACAAGTCCGATTTTCACTGTTCATTCTAAATTTTCGATAATTGCAAAAGTTTGAATTTTTTTTCGACATAAATGTTCACTATGAGATGATATAAACATCAGGTCTATTTTTTTGTTGTTTTCTTCAAAAATTGCAAAAGAGCAGTTTTTTATTAGCTCTCACATTGTTAATAGGGGTGATTTGTTCACATTATTATATTAATGAGTACATGTGCTTTAAATGATGTCTTATAAAGTTTCTCAAAAAATCCAAAGTTTTCTGTGAAAACGAGTTCAAAATTTCGCATTTTCAGAAATGCCATTTTTTCAAAAATAGCTTCAAATTTTTTCTTCAAACTTTTCGAGCGGTTAGTGCAAGACATCACGCCATTAATATGCACATTTCCCGCAATTTGTATACATTATTTCATTTGTTTTTCCACTTGTTCTCCATATTTAGTTCTTTCATTAAGGTCAGGTATAGTGTTTTTGAAAATTTTAGTAGTTTTCATGAAATATGTGCAACTTTAAAAAACAACAACAACAACAAAAAAAGATTTTCTCAAGAAAAAGCTCTCTTTTTTTCCTTCTTTATTCCTTTTCTTTTTCTGTAGGAATATTGTTAAATGTAGTGTATGAGATGATAGAAACATAATTTTGCCCTATTGTTTTGTTTTTTCAAAAATTACAAATATGTAATTTTTTTCACTTTTCTCATGTCCTTAATATTTACATTTGCGGCGACATTATTATATTTATGAGTACATGTGCTTTAAATAATGTCATACAAAGTTTGTCGAAATAATCAAAAACTTTTGATTATTTCGACAAACGTTTTTCAACGAGCTCAAAATTCTGCATTTTCAGAAATGCTCAAATGTTATTTTCTCAAAAACCGCTCCAAATTTGTTTAAACTTCTCGGACAGCTTGTGCTAATTACACCGTTTCAGATTTACTTTCATGCCATAAATATTTATATTTCCAGGGATTTTTAAACAGTATTACATATCGAATGGAAGTGCTTTAAGTGACTTCCAAGTAAGTTTTTCGAAAACTCAAAAGTTTTCTGTGAAAAAAAGTTTCAAATTTCGCATTTACAGTAACGCTTAAACACCATTTTCTTAAAATGTTTCCAAATTTTTCAAAGAAAATTGTCATGTAGAACAAGGTTTTACTGTACTTTAATATTCTTAAAATAATATTTTGCTATTTATATTAGTGACAGCTGGCAAAAGTATTAGGCAAGATAGAAAAGAAAAAGAGCCAGACTAAAAAAATTAGAAAACTAACTCCAATAACTTAACTAACTACTAAGAGAAAGTATGTGCCATTTGTAGCATCACTAGTTTATTTCTTGATACTTTTTAGAGGTTTCTATGCAAGGTTCATATCCAAAATTTGTCACCTTTCAAGTGTAATTTGAACATTTCTTCATGATTTTTTGCCTTTAAAATGAGTGATTATTTTGCAATTTTTGACATTTAAGATAACATTTTTTTCAAAAATGAAAAATCTGAAAATAAACAAATATTAATATTAATTAATGAAAAATAGTGAGTGAATGAGTTAATGACTACAGAACAAGGGTTGACATTTACAACTAAATAAAAACACCATCATTTCAAATTTTATATCCCTAGGCAATAATTTCCACTCAAATATAGATTCAGTATAATATATTAGTTGACATCAGTTGATCATTTGGCAATTAAAAAAAGATATTTGCTCAAAATTGAGGCCAAATTGTTTCTTGAATAGAGCTAATTACACTTATAAAACTGGTATGTGTTCTGTTTACCTCTAACTCTCTATATTTTTAAAAATTGCAAAGTTTAAAATTGTTTGGTATCTTCCCTCAGCTACAAGATCGAAGATTTTTTCTTCATGTAATATGATCTTGCAATAAAGTCAATGAAAATCTTATTTAAAATTATTTTAAAAAATTGAAAATGCACGTTTTCACGCATTGGAAGGAGCAAGTGTATTGGAGTGGCTGATGATATAGTGGTAAGTAAATGGTGTGAATAACCCAAAAATTTGCATTAGTTAGAAAATAATACAGAAAAAACAAATGCTGGTAGGTAACACCTTTCCAAATTCAAAGAGTATTAGAGTATTGAGTAGCAGTTATAAATATTGTGAAAACATATGTGCTTCTTTCTTGAAAACTCTAGCTTGTAATCTATCATACACCTTCATTATCAAATCTGAACATTCGTTTTTTAATATACTTTATTTCTCTATATTAGCCCTTTAAATCATTTAATGTAAAGTTTTTCCATCATATTAGTAGTGTTTGTATAATTTTCAGTAAAATCAGGATAGTTTTCTAAAATTACCTAAATAAAATTTTCTCAAATACTTTTCCAAATTTTTTATAATATTGTGACTATTGAGTTCTATGATCAAAGTGCCAATTTCCAGATTGAAAATTAATTTTTTTCATCATGGAAGTTTTCAAGAAATGGCTTAGTATACGTAAGATGAAAGTTGCAACATTTTAATTAGGGTTAGAAAGTTTATGCAAGCTTTTAAAACTAAAATATGCCATAAAAATGTTTAATGTAAGCAGCATTTGTTTATAAAATCATGTATTTTGCAACAAAATTCGCATTTTCTTGCCATCTCACCAAAGAAAGTACATGCAAATTGAAAATAGATCATCTACTTCTAAATGTTTTATTTTGCACTAAGAACGCAGAATGTCATTAAAATTTTGTTAATATTTTCTATTCTTACAAAGGGTCTTAGTTGGTGATTCTGGGTGTGTAAGCTACTAAGAGCATTAACCCCATGAGCATGTTTTTCCCTCGGGAGGTGGCGGTGATCTTTCCCTGCTGGTTAGCAAGATCTGGCGCTGACCTATCATCAGGCTAGCAGGGTTTCCTCCAACCAGGTTCCTCTCACCAGCAGGAAACCACCCCAACTGGGACGAGCTCTAAGCTCTCGACCAGACCAATGAGTGGTAGTGTAGGGCATGTTAGTGAAAGTATGTGTAACGGTGAGGATAGGACAAGGGAGAGGAAGGAAAGATCGCACACAGTTTGTGGCCTGTTTGTTAAGGCCCTGCTCAGACAGTGGCCTGGTATTGAGTGGAGAAACCACAGAAAACTACCAATCAGAGCAAGCTGACCTCTAGAATTCTCCTCCAAAGAGCAACTGATTTCAACCTAGATAACAAGCTAGTATCAAAAATCTTGCCACTGTCAGGACTCAAAACCTAGGACCTCTCGGTTAGAGACACTGCAGTTAATGCACTAAGCCTACTCCCTGGTTTCTGTAAAGACCTTTCCACATCACATGACATATTTGTACTTTAGAGATGTTCAAAATACACTCACACATTCCCAGGAAAGCCAGTACACAGGAAATATATTTTCTCTTTTAAGAATTATCTTCCCATTTTATCATTTATCCATTCTAATTTCCTCATCCTCAAACAAAACCTTTATATCATCTTTGTCACATTTTCATTAATGTAAAGGTTTTATAATTTTAATTAATTTCAATGGATATTAACATGTGTTGGAAGGCACTGTTTCTCTATCTTGGCAACAGATGTATTTTTACAGCAAACCTGTCATGTGCCAGTCATTCCATTTTGTTCGTGAACAAATTTTACTCACCAGTGATCTAAAGTTTTGTACATGCCTGCCTGAATTATCAAGAAACAAGCTTTGCAGTTACTAATAATTTTTGTTCATTTTACCTATTTAAGGTTGCATTTCAACTGCTAAGGTCATACAGTGATCACTATAAAAAACATTAGTTTTGTAACTTTGGGACAACACTAGCAGGACCTGTGTTTGGATACACACAAACATCCACAACCTGGGCAGGATTCAATCCCATGACCCTTCAAGCCAAGGTAGCTATAACTCTTCAGCCTTAGCTGAAGCACGGCTCTCCAGGCCAGCCAATTAATAATCTTTAGTTATTAATAAATGTATTTTTTAGACAAAAACATTGAAAATTTATTTGAATAGACAAAACCTCTAAAGTAAGCAATACATGCAAAAAATTGTTTTCATCTGGTTTGCCACAACATAAGAGATTTTCAGTTTCTGACTTATATGACCGTTAAGAAAGAATATACAATCACATGAACTTTGCAACTTTAATTATAATATTATGAATCTGTGATAAATAATATGAGAATATCCTATTTCCTGTTTCCCAGAATTTAATGATAAATAATTAAGTTTCCAGAAGTATTAGATTATCAAGGTGTAAGTTTCATAAGAACTACTTAATAAGAAAAAAATAAACAACAATAAATCCATGAAAAAAATTATTTATTCAATTATATTCTTCATTTAATAATTCTTCTACAAAATTTCATAATGCTGTACTATATATTGAAAGAAGAAACAGAAGTTTAAGCTTTGGTAAAAATATCTTTCTTGTGCAACAGTCTTACAGATAAAAGTATAGCACCGAATAACAAGGTATCAAATTGCCCTTTTCAGAAAATACAAGCAAAGTTTGTTGTATTGACATTAATAACAGTTTGCTTATTGAATACTCCATATAAATTGTATAAAAATACTTTACTTTGTAGCTAATTTTAGCTAAAATTATAAAAGAAAAATATATTGACAAAGAGAAAATGCAATTCCATCACATCAAAATTAGTCAATAAAATGTCCTGTCACCAAGTAAGAAATCACGTAATTTGATGGTGATCAATCAACATCGTACTTTACACCTAATTTATGGCGTATAGTGTCTTCCAACTCGGCCAACAACAGACTTTCATCAAGAGTCATTTTTGGACTCTCAAGAAGACCTGTAAGAAAAAGAAATTTAGCAACAGCAATAATGTATTATTTATTGGATGTAAAATTAAAAGTGAATGAAACTATTGTAAGAAATGCTACTGTACCATATTTGCTTCAAATTCAGCGAAAATCTACAAGAATTTGACTAAGCAAATTTTTATTATTCAACAAAACATTGCAAAATATTTTCAAAATGTCAGAATTTCTTAAGACTCAGTGCCACGCACTGCTTCAGACAAAATTTTCCTTTTTAGGGTTACCAAGTTAATCAACATTTCAAAGAACATGAATTTGGTACTTTTGCAAATATTGTTCAAATAGAATAAATATAAATAGCAAAAGGAAACAACATTTGTGAAATAAGTTATGTAAAGAAACATAAAAATCGATGCTCTATGTTTACTTGCAATGTTCAATAGGATTATTTTGATTAACGTTACATTAACGTTATTTCATGGCAGTGTACTATTCTAAAACTTTGCATAAACCTGGTTTATAGTTGTCACAAGACATTGCAGTTTTTCTTAAATGTAATAGTAATTATGAATAAGCAAATATGTTTTAATCTATCAATATGCAATTACAAAGAATGGAAAATGAAATCTTTATGATATACTCTCAATTACATACTGCATTTACATATAAACACTTACTTCTATCAAGACTTACTAAATTCCATGCACTTTAAATACTAGTATCAAACTGCTAAAGGCATGGTGACCATTGAAGCTCAAGCCTTCAGAGCTGTACTAGTAAATATACTGATTGAGGTGTAAAATTTTTACAGAATGATATAGAATGGATTCTTTTCTCTCATAATTTAAAGTTATAATAATTATTTTTCAATTAGTTGGCATAATTTTGTAATTGAACTCTAGTTAATGTTGTGTTCCTGGCGGCAAATCAAACTACGACAATGATCCTCATACCCTAGGGTTTAAATTTTCTGAAAAGAGAATTCTAAGAAATAAGAATTTGAGAAATATACATAACATCAACTTTTATGAAAATTAAAGTGAACGTGAAAAAATTAATGCAACTGTGTTTCATTTTAAACTGATCTTATTCGTTTTCAAACGGAGGGCAGATCCATATGATTTGTAAAGTATCGCAATTTAAGAGCAATGGCTATTCAATTTTTCCAAACCAGCCACATTAACTCTCAGTCAAACTGAATAATATACGAAAAGATCCTGAAGAAATAAATCAGAAAATTTTACAAAGAGATGAAAATTGGTTGAAGTGGTGTAAAGTAAATCTCACAGATTCTCTTTAAATCTTTTGGGTTAAACTTTAAACAACAAACATTTTTTGCTTGTGAAAGAAGACTTATTTCCATTAAAAGAGATGTTTGTGTTCACATTAATGTTTCATTGACATCAATCAGTTTTAAAATCGACTTTAATATAAATGTGTGTTTTTTACTTAGTTTTACTTCTGCTAAAAAGCGTTTGTGGAACTTGAACTGTGAGGGAGCTGGGATTTTAAATGTGACACATGGAGCAAACTGGACAATTTGGTAAAGCTACATTTCTTAGTTTAGTAATGTCAATTTGTCTCTGAAGGGTAAATTATTAACTAATAGTTAAAAGTTATCTTGCCACTAAACAAAGACAATGTGGAAAAAACAACTGAAACCCAAATACAACTGAAGAATTAATATTTAAATATACATGCAACATATAATCATACATCATGATATGGATGACGCATGAGCTTCAAGTGCCACCATGGCTATTCTTCATTAAGGTCTGGAGAATGTAGTTTGCCTTCTTTCTAGCAAATTCTGCACTTTGTTGATGAAATAAAAAAGTTTAAAAAATGTAATTACCCTGCCTAAGACAGCGCCGAACTTCCATTGCCTCATAGCGCAGACCTTGACTGTTGGTAAAATTGAGAGGTAAACTAGTGCTAGGGAGAATAAACTCACTCGTCTTCTCAGGAGTAATTATTTTTGTAGGGCACCAGAAGGGTTTGGCCACCTATAAAACAATAAATTTACTTAGAACCTGGCAGATTTCATGTAAGTGTTCTAGCACCAAAAAACAACTTATTTTACTTACACAAGCTACACCTTTAGAGCCAACAACCAATGCTTCATTGGGAAACTCCCCTCTAGAATGTGTACTCAGAACTGCTGTTTGCCCAGATTCGTAAGTTATTATACAACTCATGCTTTCATCAACTCCTTGTTCATTTAAATGTCCCAAAGCAACAATATTTTTGGGACGTTTTGGTCCAAATACAAACATAGCAAATTGTAATACATAGACTCCCAAGTCAAGGATTGTTCCTCCTCCTAATTCTTTTAACCTGATATTAAACAAAATGAAAGAGAATTTTAAATAATTCCATGCACAATTATATTTACAAAAGAAGTTTACAACTTACTTGACACGCTCCACATCAGCAATTGGCAAGCCAAATACAACTTGTACTTGAAGGATGTCACCTAGCTTTCCAGATTCCAGTTCTTTTCGTAATGCTTCATATGCAGGAAAGCAACGTGACCATACTGCTTCCATTAAAAAAAGCTTTTTCTGTCTTGCTAAATCAATCAGTTCTCTTGTTTGTTTCAAATTCAAAGTGAGAGGCTTCTCACAAAGAACTGGCTTACCACTATTTAGCATAAGCTTTCCAATGTCTAAATGAGTGTTATTTACAGCGCCAATATACACTACATCTGCAATTATAAATAATACATGCATTGCAAGTAATAGAAATAAACATTTAAATACAGTTTCCATTACTTACCTATTTCCTCATCAGCAGCCAATTCCTCATATGATCCATATGCCTTTGGTATCTTATGCAGATCAGCAAACTCCTTAGCTCTTTCAATTTGTCTAGCTGCAACTGCAACGACTGTGTGTTCATCAGCCGGCAAAGTAGCGAGTGCAGTTACAAAATCATGACTGATTTTGCCAGCACTAGCAATTCCCCACCTCGTAGCCATCTGGAATAATAGATGAAAATTTTTACAATTAAGAAGTAAGCTACTACATCCAATGACTGCGTAAGATGATCGAATGTTCGTGGAAGTTTGTCCTTGAATTGTCATTGATCAGCAAACCAAACAGTAATCGAATATTTTGACTTCATGACGATGACCAAGGCAAAATTATTAATATATTTGCACAAATTTGGTCAAAAATCAGATAATATTGTTATTGATATCGTCGTTAATATAACTGGACCAAGCCGGTACGCTAACCTGTACATTCGTGCAATAAGCAGCACGACTTACCTTGTCAACGAAGTGATTTCAGTTAGAGAAGATCGAATCAATATGAGTTTCAATTCCTAACAGCGATCTTGTAATAATACATGACCCTTTTTCTCCGATAACACCTATCACCCTGCCCTCACTCCACGTTACCGTCACCACGTGACATCGTCCGACAGTGTTTTGAGTAAAGTGTTGACATCTGCTGGCGGGATGCGACACCAGTGTTTCAAAATTCTTCCTGGTGAGTGCGTAGAAGTGTTCCGCAGGGATGGAGTGTTTTGATGTGCGAGTGTTTGTAGTATAAAACTCATCGGATTGTAAATGTTTAAAGGTAAGCCTTCTATTTAATTTACTTGACGTGCATATGATTGTAAGAAGAAGACTATTTTAGTGTGTTCTTTCGGAACAACACGCTGTAGTACTCCTCCCCATTGATTCTTTCCGTTAGGTGACCGCCATGATCGAGGCCCAGTGAATGACTAATAGCGGGATGTAGAATATCAAGAGTATGTTTGCGTGTGTGTTCGAGACATAGTAAGATATTTGATCGTACTTAAATTTCACGACTGTGCAGCTGAGTGTTCATATCCTGGGAACGTATCAGTCGAGTAGTTTTATGGTAAAATATTTTTTTTTAACCAGCTGTCTTGTGAGACTAACCAAAAATTTGTTAATAGTAAGAACATTTTTTTAATATTGTGTGTGAAGACGGTGTGTATTGTTAGTTACTGTTGTTGTTCAATCATCAAACGTTTGATGTGCATCAGTATTTGAAACATTAAGATCTTTTTGATGATGGTATAAAGCTTTGCTACTTCCTTGCATGAGTGCTTCATGTGAGTGTGTGCTTGTTTTGTTATCTCCACTGGCAAGGATTTACAATGAGGATCTTCTGTGTGTATCACTGAACATCATTCTTGTGAGTAGATACTTTCAAATTTATACCCTTTTGAATTACATGCCTTGTCTGTTGTGGAAAGGGTGTGTATTTCTGACATACCTTGATGAAGAATGTGTATTTCATTTGAAATTGATGATCAAGATAATCAAGTTAATTAGGCCCATTTTCAAAGGGATTGTGTTTAATGATTTCAAGGGAATGTTTTTGTTGGTTTCTTTTTTCTTTCGCACATTTAGTTCAGTAGTTAACTTTTTCATTAAAAGTTCATTGTTTCTTTTATTATACGATTCACAAGAATACCCTTGCCAATGTCTAAGAATGCACATTTTTTTGTTGTAATGTTTCAAACAAAAATGTCAATATGACATTTTTCTTAATTCCTAGAATGTTGTTTTAATAGTTATTAATTTGTTTTCAATCATATTTTTTGGTATCCGTTTCATATGTTAGGTGTAATTTGAATTGATAAAGTGTTATGACATTGTTTTATTGAACAAAGTACCGATTGTGACATACAGTCTATGTGGAAACATTTAAACAATTTGATTCCTGGTATCAATGTATTCAAGATCATTAACCAGTCATTGATGATGGAAAATCAATGTGCGTTTGCATTTCAACGAATGAGGTCGCGAATACAACAGTGATATTTCAGTGTGAAGGGCACTAGAATTATAGGAAGTGAAGAGCATCCCTGGAAATAATCGACTTTCGAAGTCTGGCGAGTGTGATTTCTAGAACAGGGCGCAAATAATAATGTTGCAAGTACAGTGGTGTCCCCCTGTTCTATGTGCTTTCGTGTATCACACGCCCCTTTTCCTTGCACTCACTCCCCTTCATGCGATTTCTGTCGTGGAGTTCAGTCAGATACGCAAAGCACTTGTTCTGGTTCAGCCTACACGTAGTAGTCTTTCTGAAACGCCTAGTCAGCATCTCGTCAAGAATCTATGGCCGAAGTACGCATTTGGGATCAGATATATTGACGCCTTCCGGTCTTCTAACATAAGTACGTTATGCATTTGGTCGTCTCTCTCGTCTTTGGCATTTTAGAACTACCTGTACAGAAATCGTACGCCGTAAGAGGTCGTGAAGTTCCTCAAGGCTATGCGAAGCACGTGGAGTGAAGAGACTGATATGCGGCAACCGGTGGTGGCTGGGATTTAGATTGTGGGGCAGGCCCGAATTCGGGTTCTTTGCGTTAATCCCCTACTATGCCTAAGGCATAATTGCTTGGTTTGGCCTTTCGAACGGCGAGACTACGAATTCTAACGGAGTGCCCGTTGCAAGTAATTAACAAAACCAGTGAAGCGGAGAACAAGTGAATATAAAGAAAAAGCTAAAATATCGGAATAAATCATTTAGTTATGTTTATACTTTTGTAGTTTTGAATGTTGTACTATGATTTTGTCAGTCGGCGTTCGTATTCTTTAATCTCCTAATTGTTCCTATACTGAAGCATACCGACTCACGGTCGGCGGGCATCATTTATTCAGGTGTTTCGAATCTGGCGACACGCTGAAAACGTTAAATAACTAATATCTTGGCGCCAAATCAATTAATAGGTGACGTTATCGGAATCGGTGAATTAATGAGAACGTCTGGTACAACGATACATTTGTGGAGGGGAAAAGAGGGCTTCCGAGACAATTTTTAGAAAAGGTAATTATAATTCGCGTAATCATTATTTAACTATGAAAGTCAACTGATTGTTGAAGGTGTGTGTTACTTCACAATTTAAGGGTGACTTCGCGAAACGTATTATCACCCAGATGGGTGTGTTGTGTCATGAGGAAGTGCTGCGTTTGTTTCATAGTTTTGTAGGATAAAACTGTCCTCCGAATCCCAAAGGAGTAACCCTATCAGTGAGGGAACACCCCAGTGAATGAACAGTTCCTGGATTTTTACACAAAATGAGCTTTGACATTCGCTCCAATGGACAGGTTACAGCCGGTGAAGTCATTTTCGACAACTCATATGCCTTATTTCCAATCAAACTTATTCATTACCTAACTTTTTTAAAAAAAATAGGTACATTCATTGTTGAGCAGTTCCTTTAGTGATAAGGATACCCTACATATCCGTGTGATATTTCTGATCAAATAAGTTATCGTTTTGATGATTTGTTGTCAGTTGTTGAACGAAATCTGTGACACTTTTACATTCTTCATTCAAGGATTGAAATTTGTTTAAACATATATTTAATAACTGGATCGCTCGGACAAAGACAATAACCGCATTTATTATGAAGCCAATCAAATCCGTCGAAAATCGAAACTTGCTTACTCGTAATGAAGGCAACGAATTACTTCTACCCTTCTTTTGCCGTCATCGGCCACAGCATTTTGTATGGAGATAATATTTTGGTGATGGATGTTCGATTTTCTATTTCGGCATGCGAACGATTGAGATTTCCTCATTATTTGTCTTCGGCAGGTTGCTTCGGAGTAGTTTCGTTCAGTTATCACAATATGTGAACACTTCGGTGGTGTTCCCAGTAAAAATTCATGTTAAGTGCTTTTGTGTGACGTGAAAAATAATTTTTCCACCATTGCTACGAACTGAAAAGAAACGAAAATATCAATGCGCGTAAACATCTGTTGAGTGTATCCTCACTGTGTGCTAAACTCAGCGTTATTTCCGATCCGTCTTATTCCACAGAAACGGAAAGTGGATGAGTGAAGCAAAGTATCAGTCAAAAAAGTGAAGTAGTAATAAATACGCAATAGACCCATGTATAAAACGCTGCGGCAGTTAGCACAGCAGCCGCATGTAAGCTGAGCAGCAAGAACTGTACGAACGTCTCGTCCACTCGTGTCCAACTCGTACATTCGTTCGCGCCCAGAGGCCTGTAGAAGTAGTATGGAGCCAGTAGGGCAGCGGACTAGTCGCGCTCTCGCCTACCGACCTACGGTGCAGGAAGAGGTTTTCGCACCGTAACGGGCCTTTCTCCGCCCGCCGCGCCCCACGGCCACGCGCTGCTCCACCACGTGGAGGCGGAGAGCAGAAGAGCGAGCCGTGGCGGGCGGGCGGGCGAACGGCCTCTCGCGCAGCAGGATGACGTACGAATTCGAGGGCAAGCGCGCGCGGCCCGCCACGCCGCCAGCCTGACCCTCTGCCGCGAGCGGCGGCGGCGGAGGAGCGAGCTTTGAGCTTTCGTGCCCGCGCGTGCCCCACTTTTGCGCGCGGATCCCGCGAGCCCCCCGCTTGCCTCGGAATGCTCGTTGCTGCCGCCGCTGCCGGCTAGTGCGGCTCCTGCGGCCTGCCGCCGAGAGGGCCCGCCGACGCGCAGTGACAGGTGTGGCGTGTCTGCGCGGGCGAAAATGAAGGTGGAGGTCGTAGGTGACGAGGATTTCGCGGCCGGAGTCGATTATGCTTAGGCTTGTCGGCGGTTTTCGGAGACGTAGTACTGCAATTTTTTTATATTAAAAAAAAATATTTTAGGTATTCGCCCCCCTAAGAAGTTCGCGGTGTGACCCTTGACGACCGAATGGTCTTGCAGACGAGGCTATTCGCGGTAAAGCGAAATTCTACTGGTTTAGATTTTTTATTTTTCAATCGCCGCATAGATACTTTACGTAGTCGTGTTAGTAGAGCGATTCTTCTTCTAGGCCCCCGTCTGTGACGGAGTGTTGGCGATCTCGTGCCAGAAAAGTGATAAATGGCTCTGCGCGGGATATTACTAAAGGGCGAAGAATGATTTAGATGAGTGCGTGTTTGTTTGTCCCGGGCTTTTATTTGAACTCTTAGAAGAAGAAAACATCTCTGACGCGATGGATTCGAACTCGCGAATATAGCTGGTCATTTTCTTAGTTCAAAATTAGATTCTGATCGACTGACATTTATGCGAAACTGTTCAACTTATTGGAAAATTGTTTAACATTACTCACCGGTGTGCATTCGATTGTTAAACCACCGCAGTGGACCGTTTTTAACAAAAGTTTGTCATACTATTATACATTGGACATTGTCTCTGGTTCAGTGCAGCTAGCGTGGAGCAGATTACCCAAAGTTTTGAGTTCATAGAATTCTAACCCGCGATCACATAAAATTTGACACAGACAACGTTTGCTTCTTAGTTAATTGTAAAGGTTTTTCAAGAAATCGTGCAAAATACTGGTTACTGTTGTTTAAAATAAATTACTTTTTTGTCGGAGTGTTTCTTTAGTTTTTTCACTACACCACTTTTGTGTTCTTGATATCTACAAAGGAGTCATTTTTATTAATACTTTCGTTTATTTCTTACGCATAGAAGTGGTATGAAGTATGGGGCAATGTCGCATTGATAGTTTTAACTAAAATTTGTTTCCTAGAAGCTCTGTTTTACATTTCGAGGGTGAGTAAGTGGGTATCACTCTCTACTGTCGAATGCCTAATCTCGCGGGTCACTCGACCTACTGAATGCTTTACTCTTAAATGGGTCATGTTCTTAATATAGTTTATTGAACAAGGCAGACAGCTAGATTATCTTTTGATATATTTTCGGCTACATAGATACAGTGATTGTAGAATCAGTGCTTGACTCTGGTCAGTCAAATCAACTCTGAAGATGGCCTCTACGGATTGTCGCCCTACTGACGTCTTTATTAACTCTTAGTCATCCCACAAGCGTGGGTAGGGTGATTTCTTAGCAAGAAGCTACCGGCTCTGAAGTTGTTAAGGTCACAAGTTAATCTCTCGGCACGAATTCTTACTCAATTTCCTCGTATAGAACCACTACCACGGACGAATGTGAACCCTTGGGAACAATTAAATGTGTTGAGATAACTCGGAGGGGGAACTCGGTTTCCCATAACCCCCTTTTTGGCACTAACGATGGGGATTTATGGGTAACCAATCCTCTGGCAGGCGTTTTATATGTGGAAGCCAAGACCCAAACCCTCCGTGGATCTGAAGGGTCGCTGAGTTATTCTTTTAAT